GGGTCACAGCTATAGATTTGCTTACAGGAGAAAAGATGACAAACTTTAAATTTGCATGACATCAAGCTGAGCCAGCTCCTGGTTCAGTTCTTTATTTCAAACGGGACATATATATTTTAATAACTTTGTGTTTCTTCACTTTTTTCATTTCGCACCACCTGCTGAAACCTCCTTTCACCAGCAACCGATTACTTTTAGTTTTGGAACAGTTTTTAAAATCTCTCATCTTGGCTCCAAACTTCACAAACCAATTTAAGTTTAAACTTCCATCTCCATCTGTTTTATACAAACAGAACCTGGATGCTGCATGCAGTCATCTGAAATGACAGCTGGGGATTACATTTGAATAATCTGATGTTACACAACACATTCCGTGAACCCAAGCACGCCTGAGGAGTGTGTAGGACCAGTAAATCAAGCGTCAGTGGTTGTGTGGAGTTGTAGCCATGGCAGACACTCCCTGCAGGTTTCTTTGCTGCTGCTGAGGGCTGAAGAATGCTTTGTCACAGCGCTCCGGCTGGGTGGGGCTTAGGAGCAGGGAGACCAGAGTAAGTCTTTAAACTGCTCTTGGCTGCAGCGGGACACTCTGAGCACTTTGATGTGATACATGACGAAAGCTGTCTGCCTTTCTTCTTGTATTGGAAGTGGCGTTGCTTAACAAAAGGTGTAACCAAAACCATTTGTGCAAATTATGTACTCTTAACAATTCTTCGCAAAAGTATTAATAACTGTGGACCGTGTTCATGTTGTCATATTTGCAACTAGAAACTTCTGCAACTTCAGCTTTATTGAGATTTTAGATTTTACAGCTCTGGCTGTGTATTTAACGTCTTGTCTCATCAAACATGAATACTCCACCTGAATCTCAAGTTCTCCAGCCTCTGTTACATTTTCTTCCAGCATCAGCTCCTGTTAAATTTTACCAGTTTGCCAGGTTGAGGTTGTTGTGTCATTTTTTGGAGCACACAATGTTTTGCACATCTTCCAAAAAGTTCAATTTGAGTCTCATCTCATCAGGTCATCATCGTCTTTATATGAGGAGACGACGCCTTCTTATATAAAGGCATAATCTTTATATAGTTGCATTGGACTTTATTTAGGGGTAACGTGGTTGAATATAAATGCATGCCACACCTATCTGACTTTTAGAAGGCTATATTATCTAGCTTCCAATCCACGATTTAAAACTGCAGTTTTGGGCTATTCTAGAGCCACATAATACTATAAATCATAATTTCTGCTGTAATATCAGTGCGTGCAAAGAAATATTAGGCTGCAATATTTGGATGTTTACAATATTCCAAGTTTTATGCATTCTCGCTCTGCATATCAGTGGCATATTTGTCCATACCTGATGTAGATCTCTAGTGACTGGGATGCTAACAACGACGGTTTTTCTTTACCACTGTCTGATGGTGAATAAAGAGTCTGAAAGATGTAAACTGATCAGAATCGACAGGACAATTTTCAGCAACGGTTCAAGAGTTGCATATTTTCTGAAGTTGTTCAGCCCTTATCTGTTGCTCACCAATAAAACACAAGAGCCCAGCAGTCTGTGCATTAGCCGTTAGCTTGTGACAGACAGGCCGACGGTTTCTTTTAAATGTAACATTGTTTTGTCTTTACTTCAGAAAATTTGAAATGAATGGAAATTTATGGTTGTAATGTATCCAAACATTTGCCAGGCGCTATGTGGTTTAGAAGTGTGTTGACTTGTTTGAGGAAGACTCCATGAATATTAATGCCCACCATTTCTTCAAAATCTTGTTTGCATACACTCACTGGCACCAGCAACCAAGTATGAACGGTTTAAAATGTGAATCCAGGAGCAGAAGTTCATTTACTAGTCTTAAGTAATGTCTGCCTTTAGAATTTAACCACTGATTCTCCTTCAATCCAGCTTCTAACCTCTGGCTCAATTTTCCTGCTAATTCATCACCTTTATCTATTACAGGTGTGTATTTGCATGCCAAGAGGCTGACTGTGCGTTTGTGCTGCTGATATCTAAGACCCTGATCAGCTTTTGTTTGTAGCTCACAGTAAGCTTGGTTGAGGGGGATCATTCATAAGTCCCTAATGAAACGCATATCAGACAGGGCAGGGTAGAAACCCATCAGGTTGAGAGGAAGAGTGTGATGTTGTTGTTTTTCCCCCCTCTTTGTACGAGATGTTTAGGCGTTATACTCGCATCCCAGTCGTCTGTTTAAGCTTGGAGGTTGTCGTGCTTTTATTACTCGGTATTGTTAGCCGTCTAATAGGGTTTCACTCATCTTAACAAAGGCATGCAACTGATAATCTTCTTATCTTGCGTTTTTCATTCCTTTTTTTCCCAGTTAAACGCTATATTACACCTGTCCTCTGTAATCTCGACAATTGGATATTTTGTCCAAGCCGACTCCAGGCTGAGGTGTAGATCGTCTCATGTATTTTTCACCAGCCCTCCTGAAGTCTCAGGCTCGTATATCATTAGACTTTGTTTAGTTTCTGAGGGAAGCTTGTTGGCTTTAATACATCTATCTGCCACTGAGGTTATGATATAATAAACTGATTCAGCTATATATGTGGCTAGAAGTGGGAAAGGTTTCCATGCCAATCTTGCTGATTGAGATGACTCATTTCTGAAATTCAGGAAGCGTTTTCTTTCCCCATCGGCGGACTGTTAATACTCTACGCTGGACTGAAATATGTGATCATTTTCTAGTTTTCCCAGCAATTACCATCTCTTCTTTTCTCCCCCTTCACTACCCTTCCCTCGCCTGGAAATTGCATTCACTGAACACCAGAGCAGAGACAGCATGAGGCAGCTTTAGTGCTGTGTTTAGATGACAACCTAAAGGCATATGGGCTCACACTGAAGTGTCCGGATTAACTGTGGCCAGCGAGGATTGCGTGGACACTGCTGCTTAATACAAGCCCCGTCTTTCGAAGTTGTAGTGTAGCTCAGGAAAGGGAGCTCTCCACATGGAGTCGCCCCCGGGTGATTGAGGGAAAGCCTAAAATTGCTCCCTAGTAAAAGGGCGTTTGCTCTGCTGACGTTTGCACTCATTTAATGCATCACCATCATCTAATGTTGGAATCTGGGTCAAAGTCAGGGTGAAATGGGAAAGCTACACACTAATGGGAAGATTCAAGGTTTAACGGCTTCATTCGTTCGTCATGGAGCTCTAAAAGGTTTCCTGTTGAAGTGGTACTCGAGCTAAAGTAAGAAAGATGGCATAAGGCATCAGGTATATGTCGGATACAGTGTGTGTACTTTTGGGAATGTGGTTTCCTTCAAATGCCGTGTTAGAAACTGAGAAATTACAACTTCCCACTCGGAAAATTGAGCAGAAATTGCACCAGATTTCTTATTTTCCACTGGGAGCAACTCCATCTACCTTGACTTGTAGGATGAACTTCGCATTTCAATATTGGCACTCCTCGCATCAACAGTAGTAAGACGTGATGGAAACATGTTTATTTTACAAGACGCATATGCAAAAATCAATGTTGCATGCAGTAGTTGAAACACCGAAGTGAACAAATTAAGTTGTTTGCTTACGGGAAATAAGCAAACAAGTCTTGAGGGCCAAAAAAAAAACTGCTATAATCTTTTTTTGTGTTTTGTTTTATTTTGACTCATAATTGTAACTTGGCATGTATTTTAGTTTCACTCCATGCTTCATCACCTTTCTTAGACCACTGGACAATCAAATGCTTGAGCCTTTTACCTGACACTTCTGGCTTCATTTGTATATTTAGCCTGAGCAAGTGTTCAACAGGAAACAACATTATGAAGTCCAAAAAATGGTTGTTTTTGTTCCTGTTGGGATTTAGCACATCCGATTCTAAATCTCTTCATCTGCACATTTTGTATCTCTCATCTCACTGCTCTTGTCTCCATTAAGCCTCGTAAACACTGACTCGATTAGTCTGTCAGCTGTAGAGGAAGTCATTCGTTTCGGTTCCAAAGCTTCCTTTTACTCCTGCAGCAGTAAATGTTCAGGGTAAAAATATTAGGATTTTGTTAAAGGTGAAGGCACAAACATCCTGACTTTTTGAGTTGCTGCTTACTTATGAATATAAATACATTTCTTATGAAATTTCATCCCGAGATCACATCCGAGATTCACATAGATTATTTAGTCACTTTGCTGATTTAATCTATGTTATTTTGGATATTGTAAAGAACATGCATAACAATGCAAAACAAAAAAAAAAGAAGAAATCAGACCCGAGTCTCATTTCGATTCAGTCCATGTCTCGGTCCACGTTATGACTGCATGTAATGAATTTGGCACGGCTCCAGATCTCAACCTCTTCTATTCGTGGCTGACCCACAAACACAAAGTTAATTGCTGTAAAAAAAAAAAAAAATGTTTAATTTATTTCCACAGGATGTTAAAAGCTAAAATATTGTCTCTAAATGGAGCCCTCTGAGAAGACTCTTAGCCTTGCAGCGGTGAAATAATTGTGACCGAGGTTTTCCCGGCAACCGCAGGCAGGTGCAATTCTGTGAGAATGCTGCCAATTGTATCTGTGCTTTTAAACACTCCATCGCTGAAGGCCCCTTTAATGTCTAGTACCAATCAGCTTTCTATTTTTGTCTCTTTCCCTCTCTCTCATCCTTCCCCTTGCGTGGCTTTCTGCTCTTCTATATCCGTTTTCACAGTTTTCGGTGACTTCATTCAATTGCTTTGCTGCCTGAAGATCTGTGAAATAAACACAATGTTGGCCCATCTCTCAGACATGATGCAGAGTGAATAATGATTGTATTTTTGGCACTGTGCAGCTACTGAGGCTTTATATTATCAAGGTTCTGGGGGGGAGAGAAAGGGTTCTGCCTGTTGTGTTGTAAATGAGACGTCTTGACAGCTAAATGCCGTTTACTAACTTTAATGTCTGCATCACAATGTGGTTTTTCTATCGTTTTACCTCGGAGAAAGTTTCTGTTTTACAAAAAAAGCTACCTTTTATTGCAAAAATGATTAAGTTCTACTTTTTCTTTTCTTCTCTTTCAGAGGAAATTAAGGCGGAATCAGAGAAATTAAGGTAAGTCATTGGTCATTTGATGGATTTTCTGTTTATTTGTGCTTGATTAGGTGCTGCATTCATGGCTCATTTGCAGGCCTCTCTGTTGCTGTTCTTCATTGTTCAGGCTTGTAAAGGGGATCATAATGCTGTGTGTGTCTGTGACCAGCCATTTGTTGCTCTGCCCCCACTGATGTGGTTCTTTTCTCTGGGCTTTTTTCCCCAATAACCCCTTTGTTTGGTCATTATTAGTTTCCTTTATGAACCCCCGCCTATTGCTGATGTTTTTTTTTGTTTTTTTTTTTGGCCTGTACTTATTTGTGCTTTGCTCCTGAAAGGAATTGCTAAGTAACATCGACTATGGAATGTAATGCAGCCCCCACATCTTCTTCTCTCCCTGCCAAGTCTTTTCTTTTTTTTTTCCAACCTTTAATTTTTTTTTCCCACTTCTGACACACTATCTCTCCCTTGATTTTGTCCCCGGTACGCTTCGTGTCATTCACTAATCCTCCAGGTTTCACCAAATTTTCACAGTTAAAGTCTGATGGAGTAAACATGTGGAGTCTCCTCGCCCCGTTTGCAGAAAAGCTGCTGCTTTTGGCCTCAGTCCAGCTGGTTCAAGTGTATTTTTTTTTGACGTATAGAATTGGATCTAAATAAATTAGAATATCAAATCAATTTTATTCAAAGCAATTCAATTTAAAAAGGAAAACTCTGGTATGTAGTTTCACTACACATAGGATGATAAATTACATGTGTACTTCTATGAATTATTGATTATTTTTAGCTCAAATAAAGTTTCTGTTACTGCTTTTGCTTGTGCTCTGTTTTTGCCACACTTTTTCCTTTCACTGAATTTTTCACTAATATGGTTCAAAACACCACTGTCATTACTAAGACCTTCAATAAGGAAGTGTTAGGTACAGAATTAAATTAAATTTGCTTAATTTCCTCAATCTACAAGTTATTGGTTGCAAATAAAAATTTTTAAAAAGCATGTTTTTATAGTATCACTGTCTTTACACAAAGATTTAAAACTGAAATATGATTTGCTTTAAAAAACAAAAGCAATAATTGTACCCAAACCTGCAAAATTATTATAGTTAATAATGTAACAATAACTTTTACATATAGTTTAGGACAAAATATTGAATAACACTGAATTTTATGAAATTTTTCAGGTGCTTGGTGTAGAATATTATTTACATTCTGCTCGAGTACAAATACAACAAGCTCATATTAGCTGGTTAATTTGTCGGTCTGTCTGCTCGTCTCACCAGCCTGCAGTCCACCGGTTTCACAGCATGGCCCTTTTTGCTAATTGCATGCATGACTCTTCTTGTTTTTGACAGACAAAAAAATAACTCGCCTGATTTCAAGAAAAAAATATTTTGTCAATAAAGAAGCACTGAAGCTCACCCTCGAGTTTTCTTTCCCTGTCTATAGTGAAACCAGATGACGCAACAGACCAGATAGTTTTCAGTCCAAAAAGTAAACGCTTCCAATCTTGGTGCTCTTAAATGGGATTATAGATCGCTGTTGCTGGGAAGCCAGAGTAAGGTTGGTCTGGTCCTCTCGTTATAGAAAGCTTCTCAACGTTTAAATATCCTCGCCATACAGCTGCTCTGACCTGCAGGAGCCAGACCACTGATCACAGCTGCTTGAATTAACTCACAGAGAGAGCCTGACTTTGTTCTTCAACGGGAGATAAAATTACTCACTGTATGTCTATGAAGCAGTTTGCTGTTTACTGATGTACAGAAGTTTAAAATGTGTTTCTCCTTGCATTGTGGGGGTATTAATAAGGTTTATACAGCACTTTTCTCAAAGAATATGAAGAAAAAATAAAACGAACCATCAGAAACTGTAAATGTCCAAGTAAGACGGACTAAAACGACAAGCTGTAAAACTATTTCAAATATAGTAATGAATGCATTTACTTAAAATAAATCTATAAAAACACGTGGAATAAACTAAAATGCAAATAATATTAGAATTAAGGAAATTATTCTGTGGGGAAAGAAGCAGCTGTTTTAATGTCAAACAGCTGCTTCACATTATAAAAACAGCTGTTCTGCTACATCTCTTTCTTCCAGGAAAATTGGAGATGATGCATACTAATACGAGGGGAAGGTGATGTAGACTGGCAATAAGTCTGAAACTTTGTACATCCAAATCACCAAAAAACAAATTCAGTTGCAAAAAATATATGCAACCCCATCATTGTTGAATTTAAGGAACAACTGTTACATTTCAGTAATTTCATTGAAAAGTCTAAAAACATTATTCACAAAGCCAATGCAACTTTATTTCCAATGAAGTTGCATTGGTATCACAGGATAACTAATTAGCTGAAATTGACTTGTATTTCTTCTCTTGCTTCAACAGCTTATTTAGCTTCTAGATGCTTTCTTATTACCTGTTGTTACACCTCACAATATGTTAAATAATCTGTCCCCTGTCAGATGATGTATGTTTCTGAAATGTGAAAATTGTCCAGCAAGGAGATTTCCTCTCAGATCGCTAGAGTCACAATTGAAGTTTATTTTTACACTTTTTCTCTTGTGACTCTAAAAGTCCCAAACTGGAAGGATTTCTATCATTTATTCACTTAAAACAAGCTGGGTAAGCAAAGGAAAATGCACAGTCAGCAGCCAGGCATCTTAGGCTGGCACAAAGAATTGAAACTTGAACATCAGCTTTATCTGAAGATGGCACAATATTCACCGAGCCACAGCGAGGAAAAGTATTAATCAACAGGACGTGCCATTGATGCGGACTGTGAACTAGCTGTGGTGTTAGCAGCCATGTGCTGCTAACACACATAGCAGGTGCAGAAACACCCTGACATCTAAGGGGAATGATTGAAAAACATCAGATACATTGATTGCCGTACTATTCACTCCAAAGACCCAGAAACAATAAACATCTTTCAGTGCTTAGAAGAACTGCATTGCACAGAATGTCACTCATAGATTATCTTTTTGCGGCAGCCCATCGACATATCGCCCACTTTTTTACCTCTAATCAATCCATTCCCCTCTTACTGGTAACTATTAAAACCGACAATATGTATTGATACTTTTAAAATGAAAGAAAGAAAGTGTGTATCCTCCGCCTCCTCGGCTGTTAAAGTGTCCAGCTTCTCCTCTCTCCACAGCTTTGTAATTCATTCTCCACTCTGAATCGTTCCTATTGTAATTTCATCCTGCTCTCATGCTCGATTCCTTCTCTCCCCTCGTATTTTCCTGTCCCCCCATGATTGTGCCCTGCTGCACTCAGTGAGGTCGTCCCTCTGAATCAGGCTGAAATCACCTCTTTTCATTGCCAAGACATAAACAATGCGGCCTCCTCCCTTTTTTTTTTTTTATATCGGTCTGCCTCCATCCCAGCCTCCCTCTGTAGCGCTCACCCGTCGTCTGTTTTTCCTCTTACTCTGTAGCTTGTGCAGTGGGTGTGGCAGCAGTGTCTGGGAAACCAGCAGCTCTCGTCTTTATCTCTGTGTTGCTGCTCTTTGAAATTTCAGAGGCAAAATATTTGGCATCGTAAACACATGGTGTCAATCTAAATCCGAATTACCAAAAGGCCATGCTTTAACGTCCTGCTCCTGCTTTGAAAGGGGAAGCAGTTCTTCTGTATGGTGAAACATAACATCCCTGGCACTTAATTTTTCATGCTCTGTTAGTCATGCGTGGATGTCAAGAGAAGTGCGAGTGTGTCAGACTGATTTTGAACCCTTCTTCTTGTCTCAAGTTGACAGATTGAACTGTGTGATCTGTGTTTTTTTTCCTCCCCCCTTGTATTTACTCTTTTCTTTCCTCTCCTAGCCCACCAAGTGGAGACGGCAAATCTGGCTCCAGCACGCTACCGCCCATCAAATCCAAGACAAACTTCATCGAGGCCGACAAGTACTTCTTGCCGTTTGAGCTAGCATGTCAATCCAAATGTCCTCGCATCGTCATCACCTCACTCGACTGTTTACAGGTCAGTGCTAGGAGGTCCTCTAAACCATCGTGGTTATCTAGGATTTCACTCGGAAAAAGATATTTGTCTTTAGTGTTTGCTTGAATTAGTTGCAAAATAAAACCTTGATGTTTCACGCAGGGTCTTGCGATGGATAGTGTAGGATTAATCTTTCTGACAAACAAAACAGACAGAAGATTTATGTCTTGGAACGGACTCAAACATACCATTGGAGTTGCAGAATTGGAAAGAAATAAAGAGTGAGAAACAGCTGAAGGACCAATAAGGTTTGCTAAACTAGGATTTTAATGGCTACCTTTGGATGAGGCCTTAATGGAGCAAATTACAAAATAGGGAAACAAAGGGGCTTATCCAGGCCTGAATACAAAACAAACTGCAGTTAGAAGCTGATCTCAAAGAAGTATGTGGGGAAAAATAAAGTTTTAAAGATAATACAATTATATATATTAAAGCCATGTGGGATAAACGGTGAGATTATCTAAAGATTGGGGGGAAAGTAATGTAAAAAAATATATATATATAAAAAAAATAGATAATTACCTCGGAAGAAAATTTGGCCAATTAATTTACCGGGATGCTAAATGTAAAATGTTCATGTGAGTAACGCTGATCACCGTCATATTTATGAGGCCCGGCCTTCAATTAACCATTTTTGGCACACTGTGCAGAAAGATATGGAGGAAGTGCTGAGGCTAAATATCTCTACTTTTCAGGACCATCCATAAATTTTCAACAGGGTTGATGGCTGGCCCCATCCAGAGGCTTTTCTTATTAGCCTGTTTCAAAGCTGCCAAAACCAGTTTTAATGTCCTTACTGGTAATTTTCTGAATAAGACACCCAGTTTTGTCGATTAAAATAATTGCAGTAGGATGTTTAAGAATAACTAAGGTACCACTAAAAAATGCCACAGCCAAGAATATACTATGAACCGTCAGTGGCGTCATGCTGAGGTCTGCCCTGCTGCCACCGGTGCTGTGCATAAAGTGGATGTAATAACCGAGGACTACTTTAAATTCTTTAACTGCACAAATCAATAGCAAGATGGTTGAAACGTGGACACACTGAGTCTTGACATCAACCTGAATGGAAATGTCTTTGATTGCGATGCCAGAAACTCGTTGATTGCTATCAAAAAGTTGTGTGATATGGCTGCGACCTCTGTTAAAGTCTAGCACACGTCTTCCCCCAGGCTTGTGATGTGACAGATCAGCAGTTAAAATCAACCAAACTTTAATAAAATGCATAAGGTATCTTTCGGAGATCAGACAGAAAAAGAAATGCATGCAAAGATTCAGTCAGATCTGGTAAACATTCTGATTACCAGCAGTTTTATCAACTTAAGCCACACCTTAGGCTGAATAACAAACTGCTCCCGGTTGCATAACTAATGTTTTGGGTTACTTTTAACAGTTTCGGTTTTATGAGTCACACTTCCTAATAAGAGGTTGTTATTGCCACACTATCTCTGGGTCAGTCGACCTGACCAGCGCAGGAATGTGCACATGTAAAATTTAAGAGGCCGCAGAGTCGTGGCATGATAATATTACAGCAGATCATACTCAGTTAATCAATACAGGCTTCAATACCTGCTGACTAACATATCATAAAAGAATAAATGTAATTCCATATTGTAATTGACAACATATAATCCCTGAGGAGATTTGACTGAATATTACAGTCAAATCTCCTACGATATATTTGACATATGTTATATAGACAAAACACAATAAACTCAAACTTGTGCACTGAATTCTTGTTTTCTCGCTTATCACTTTACGGTGAAACAAAGAATGGTTCAAATTCCTCGTTAAAAGCCCCAAATTAATGATGAGAGTATGCAAACTTCTGGCCAGCAGTGCACATCTGGAAGCTCCTACTGAGAGGGGGGGAAAAAAAAAAAAGAAGAATCAGGTGTTATTTATTTTTATTCCTTGCAGTAGATGTCAAAACAATGAAGGTCATCAGGGGTTTATCAATCTGTGCTGCTAAGGTTTTTACATATCGGCATGTTTGTGTGACTTGCAGAAGCTGATAGCCTACGGTCACCTGACGGGCAGCGCTCCGGACAGCACAGCACCAGGAAAGAAGCTCATCGACAGGATCATCGAGACCATCTGCGCGTGTTTTCAGGGACCGCAGACCGACGAGGGCGTGCAACTACAGATCATTAAGGTCCCACCGTTTTACTCTCCAACGTTCATTACGCAGATCATCAAACTCATTTTGAGCTATTCAGATTGCGCAAACTGACTTTCTCCCGCTCAAAGTAAACAGCGAAACTTAAGCTAGTTTTGTTGTTGCACAACCTGGAGGAAATGATGCACGCTTTCATCGCAAAGTACCTTGACTATTGCAATTACGATTTATGTTTGGGTGACTCGGCACATCTGACTGTTTCTTTGGATATCAAATATATTTAATCTGTAATTTCCTTTAAATATTAGAGAGGAAGCTTCCCTTTTAAAAACGTGTTTTTTCCTGATCGCCGTTCGCTCAGTGTGCGTTGACATTCTCAATTTAATGTCTGTATTTTATGAGAATTTAGTATCTGGTTTGGTTATACACCTTTTATTTATTTATTTATTTTTTTGGTGTTATGCCTTTCCTTTTTCTTTTTCTTTCTCTGCAGATCTTTTATGAACTTGGTGTTTAAAATGTGCTTAATGACTAAATTGGACAGGAGACTTTCTACTTGTGGAAAACAAACCAGCAATTATCAGTTCTTAAAAATCAAATGCCACCAGATTTTCTGAAATTAGGAACGTGAAATGACAATCGTTAATGTAGCTGCACTGTTCCAGAACCCGTTTTAGTACCGGTTTGATTTTTAACTATGGGCAAATTTTGAAAGTCTCAGATTTGTTTATATGCAGATATGTGGTTTTAGGTTGGTGTGGCTAAGCAAACAGAACAGATCTGAATGTTTCAAGTTTTTCTTTTTTTTTATCATCTTGACTTTTGAAACTTTATGTGTCTCTTCTGCAGTTTGATGTTTCCACTATGCCGCTCTTAATGTTGCTTTACACACTGCAGAATACTGAAAACGCAGCCATAAGGATATGTTTCAGACTATCAAAGATTTCAGTCCAGCTCACACTTCCTGTCTTTCCTTCTCCACCGTAGGCTCTGCTGACAGCAGTCACCTCCCAGCACATAGAAATCCACGAAGGCACCGTGCTGCAAGCCGTCCGCACCTGTTACAACATCTACCTGGCGAGCAAGAACCTCATCAACCAGACCACGGCGAAGGCCACGCTCACGCAGATGCTCAACGTCATCTTCGCACGCATGGAGAACCAAGCAGTACGTTCAAGTGCTCTAGGAACACTAAATCGCCTGATTGTTGTTTATGTAAACACGCAGCATCTCTCTTGAATCACAGTCTCAGAAAAATGCTCTAGTGGAAGCTAGTTTTAAGTCGAAATGAGCTAAAGAAGTTTATTCGTAGGTAGACGCCATGCTGTATAAGGATTTAAATAAGTTTGGACTGTAATACAGGTGCATCTCTGTAAATTAGTGTCATTGTAAAGCAAATTTATCTCAGTAATTGAGTTAAAGTAGTAAACCGCATAGATTGAATACGCATAATTAATTAAGTGTTTGAGACTGCTGAGTTAATTGTCTAGCTGACATTCATTTGTATCTTCCACATTGAAGATGTGCCACAAAATGTCTTTATTTAAGAAGTTGGCTGCTCTGAGTGCTGTATGGAAGAATATTGATGGAAAGTTGAGTGGAAGGAAAAAGTGTGGGAGAAAAAGTTGCACTAGCAAGGAAACTGCAGTCATGCAAGGATTTTGAAGAGTTTAGGGGAGATTCTCATGTCGTGGTCTGTGGCGGGAGTCAGAGCTTCACACACACACTCATGCAGAACATAGACTACAGCCGTCACACTCCTTGTGTTAGGCCACTCCTGACACAAAGTTAGAAGATCTGATGGCAACGTCATCTTTACTGGGTGAAGGATGGAAATGTTGCTCAGGGAACCACAGGCTAAACACATCCACGCCACACCGTGTTGATGCAGTAATTTGTGCATAAACAGCCCCGACCAGGTATTGAGTCTATATACTGTAAAATGCATGGGCGTTTTTTTTGTTGTTTTTTTTTGTTTGTTTTTTTAACAATATTTTTATTGGTTTGAATTTTGAGTTTCATTGGATTTAAACCATAATCATCAGCATTAGCATAAATAAATGCTATTTATTTACAGCTATATAATATTTTAGGCTCCTTTTTAATTATTGAAATGAACTTACTTTTCAATCATATTCAGATTTTTTGAGATGCACCTGTATTATCATATCAGCAGAAAAAAAAACAAAAAGAAAAAAAAAGCTTACTCTAATCTCATCTTTTTCTTTTTGAATGACACTTCTCCCCTCCTCACCTACCTCCCTCCCCCCTTTTTGGACACATAGCTTACAAATCACAAGCTATCTTGGTCTCTGGCCTCCAGAAAGCGTGACCGCCAGGTAAAAGCGTGCAGGACTGCCCGTGACATTGCCTGATCAGAACTCTTTCAACTCTTTCCTGTGCATCTGTGTTTGCGCATTCAGCTTCCTTTTTTTTTTCTCCCCCTCTTCCCTTATCCATCCGTGCACTCATTCGTTCTCTTCCTTTGCTTCAACTCTGCACACGAATGCTGCACACTCTTTCCACATTAATGCTTGCTGTGGCCTCTCTCGCTCATCTTGCTTTCTCCACGACATATCGGTTTTTAATTGCACCAGGAAGTGGTGAATTTCTTTTATTATTTTTTTTTACGTGTAGCATATGTGACTGGTAATGAGTCGGACGCAGACGGAGTAGTAAAAGCAGCGATGGAGAGACGAGGCAGACTTTAAGTATTGTCTCTGCCCCTGTAGTGCAGCACAGGAGATCAACTTTCTGTATTTGTGTGTAGATGCATCCCACTGGCTGCAGCTCAGCATGGTGTGTTCACGCACACACACACACACACGCACACACACAGCATTGGTCTCGCGCAGCCTTCACTATCCGACTGAGGTGGCATTTAAATAATGAGCTTAGTTTGTTTGCGCTGCCTCGTCTGTCCCCTGCGGTACGTTTGTCTGCTCCCGTTCGATGCTAATCGCTTATTTAGAAAGGCTGCGTCGTTGAATTAATTTACTGAGATTTTGATGTGACAATAGCGACAGTTCTGTTTAATTAGGATGGAGCAGCTTCTAATAGAGGTGTGGTGTTCAAACTTAAAAAAGCAGTAGCCCAATTAAAATTAGATTGTGTGAGGAGCTTTTTTGAGATTTTTGTTGTAAATCAGTAAATTAAAAATCCCCAGTCTCTGTGTTCCCACCAGACATTTCCTCTTATTTTCCATTTTTCATGAGGTAACATTCTGGTAAGATGTCTGCATACACTCATAATGGGCATGAATGACTTAGGCCTTATTGACTTGGTTTCCAAGGAACAGAAATGTATAGATCATTGAAACTTTAAAAATGATTGCATTTGCAGTTTTATTTTATTTATATTGCATATTGCAAAAATAATTTCATGGAAATATTTAGTAGAGCATTTGACTTAGGCTCATGCATTCAAACTCTGCTTTTTGCCATCATATTTGGCCACTTGGATGGATTGGTCTATGCCAACATCAGATCCAGATCTTAGTGACAAAGGCGAATAAAACCAAGGGAAGCTGTGGGAAATGTCTTGATTACCAATAGCAACGTTCAGCTGCAACAATTCAGGTTTTCCTAATGTTATAAACTAAGAGCAATTAATACTCTAAGGCTTTATTATCTCATCCCACCCTAAAAAAGAACAGGTCGAAAACATCCTTCAGGGCTGAAAACGAAGATAAAATGTGGCACACGGCGTCAAATATCTAACAAGACTTGAGCATGTCACGCTGTGCGAGCTCGACATGAAAATGTCGATAGCGACCGCCGTCACTGAGCGGTGGAAGTGTTCCCACAGCTGAGTTATGTTGGAAAGATCTGATGGCAACGTCATCGGATCAATGAGTGGACATCAGGATAATGTTACCGCCTCGTTATTGGCGAAGAAGAGGGAGAAAAGCAAACGCCGTGGAAGTGCTCATGGCTCGGTAGGAGAGAAATATGATCAGACGTCTGTCGCAGCAGCAGTCACTCTGCATTATTATCCCAACACATTTCTGACGTTGCTTGGGATCACCGTTTGGTCTTTCCATCAATTCTTTGAAAGTTAGGATTTTGTCCAAAGCCCAAAATAATTGCACAGCTAAAGCCTGGCATACCCATGGTCAGTGTATGTAAATGTCCCACTGGAGCCTTAAGTCATGCCGTTTTACTGTGATTTTGTGAAAGTGTCACCTTTTTTTTCCCCAGACTCTGTCAACTCTACATGTGTGATTTTCTTCTCAACCTTCTCATTTCTGGAAATCTACAAACACTCTTGGATTGCAAAGCTAGTATTTTAGGTTGGCTGAGGAAACCTGCGCTGCTTGTTAGTGTCGTTTATCCCTATAATGAAAGTTGTGTTTTTTTATGCTAATGTCATGTCGAACAGCACAAATACAGTCAAACCTAAAATTATTCAGACCCCCGGCAGGTTTAGCATTAGCATTATTGCCATTCAAAAAGGAAGTTAGTTTCTGATGGGTGATGAGACGGGCATCTCTCAAAATATGATAAAGCACTGAAAAATTTTCATAACATTAGGGAAAAAAACTGGTTTTAAATTGCATAGCTTCAGTTGAAACATTTGTTTTCAACCAATTTATCCTTGGTTATGAGATCCGAGTTTATGAGTTTGGAAGGCCTCCTTGCCATCACCCTAATCAGTAGGTAACCGCCATAGATTTTTTTTTTTTAACAGGGATGGAGAAGCATGATATAATTTATTATAATCAAGAAAACAGACTGTAAAGCTGAAATTAGAAGAAACAAAAGCTAATTCTGCACCCCTAGCAAATGTTGATACCACTTCCAATCAGAAGAAACAATTTAGTAAATGTAAAAGATTACTTTTAAGTTTAAATCTACCAAGCCTTTTTTTTTTTTTTTTTTTTTTTTTTTTTTGTTTTCCTGTTTAAAACAAATTGTCCAAAAAGCCAAATGTTACCGTGTCCAGCAGGCGGTCTGCTCTGAAAGAAGCAGGCGTGACACGGCCGTATATTTTAGTCCTTTTCCATTAGAAATGCTTTCTGCCAGCAGCAAACTTAAATGGACTCGACACACACCGGCCAGCATGAAGTGATTCACAATGTTTGTCTCATTGCTGTTTGAGTAGCATGCCGTTTTTCTCTCAGCATATTTATGTGCATTCTCACTCGGACACGCAGCAGATGTATGCCGACGCACTAAGTATATGTTGGGGGAGGGAACAAATTGTCTTCTAGCCGAGCTGTGAGCTCAGTTTCGTCACAGGAAAGGCAGACGGGTTGATATTAACCAGCGTTTTCCTACTTATGTTTCTAATCCATGCTGCTTTCTAATAACCATTTTTCTTCTCCATCTGTGTTTGTTTTTTTTTTGTTTTGTTTGTTTTTTGTTTTTTTCGGCCTGCGTCTGTCTCCCATCCCATCCCTCTTTCAGCTGCAGGAAGTCAAACAGCTGGAGAGAGAGCGGCACCGACAGCAATCCCCTGTAGCCCAGCACACCGAGCCAGAATCCCCGCAGCTCCAGACTCACGTTCACCCACCCGGCAAGGCCCCCGCCCAAGAGGCCAACGGACCCGTCAGCCCAGCGACCCCCAGCATCGCCACGCCCTCCACGCCGTCCACCCCTTCCACGCCGGCCCCGGAGTCCAGCAGCAGCAGGTCTGCGTCCGGGGAGCGGGAGGAGCCGGGGGAGCCGGGGGAGCGGGGGGAGCGGCCTGCCCCCGACGAGAACCCAGATCCTGAGAACGGTTCTGAGTTTTGTGTGGCTGAGAACGAGCAGACTGAGGCAGACCAAGCCACCGCAGCAGTACAAAGTGAGTTACCGTAGATTGAAAAAAATAAAAAAATACACAAATGAATCAGATTTTTGGATTAAGTAGACTCTTATTAGAGTTTACAACAAAGTCATTCGACCTGTTATTTAAAATATACAATTAAACTAGAGATGTACCGATGCGATATCTGAGGTTTAGTATCACCTGAAACCTTTCCGACGCTGAACTGTCTTAAAAAGTTCCTGTTTTTAACACCAGATATTTATATTTATTTAATAACTTTGCACCAGTGCAGCACATTTAAATACACCAATAGCTTCTCACGCTTGGTCAAACAACACAACTTCAATTGATCTAGAATTTTTTTCAATATTAATATCAAATTAGTTTCTCTGTAACTCAAACATGATTTTTTTTTATGCATTTGCTTTTGTTTAGAGATTTACTTTGTTTATGAAAATGCGCAGAATTCAGCTTTCTCACTGGAAGTACCCAGGTTAAATATAATGATCGAATTCATCTTCGTTTTCATTCATGCATTTATTTATTTTTGTAAAATAAATCGGATCCTAACTGCGTTTATTGTGTCCTGCAGATGCAGCATCTAAACAACATGAAGGAGCAGGTGAAGAAGAGGACGAGGAAGCGCCTAACTATGAGGAGAAAGCCCAGGAAATTGTCCAGAGTATTCTGCAGGAAGTGGTCAACACTGTGGCTGGAGGCGAGACATGCTTTATTCATAATTTCAAGCGACGTGGAATTATCAATCTGCCCTCGCTAAGTCTATTTTCTCCTGAAGCGTGTTTTAAAGACGAGATTATCAATCCATTTCCTCCTCTGCTTGTCATGTCTGCAGGCCACTGCCTGGACCCGGCGAACCTCTGCTCCGATACCAAGGAGTCAGCCGCCGAGCCAGAGGAGTCCCCGCCGGCCGAGGCAGCTACTGAAGGCACCCAGAGCTCGATGGAGGACGAGGGAACAGTGGGGAGCGACAGCGAGCACGTCCATGCAAACGGCATTCCCGGCACGCCTATTTCTGCTAGCTTTACGCCCTCGTTGCCTGACGACAGATTATCCGTCTCCTCCACCGACACTCAGGTGAGGAAGTGAAGACAGTCTGAGTGTTGGACCTTGCAAACTGAGCTAGGTGTTGAAATTTCTTTAACTTGTACATTTGTTCATTCTTTGCTTCGCCACTGACCCTTTTGGCAAAACTGCAAAATCCATTGTACTAAATTGTCCTTTATGGTATCTGAAGCATTTCAAATTATTTATTTATCTTTTTAATTATTTCTTGAATCGAGTCATCTTTGGCCCTTGCTACTAGAAAGCTCTGTCAGAAGAAATATATCTGGATGTTCAGCCAGCCAGACAAAACCGAGTCATTGTCTTTATAGAAATAAACTTGCTAGTTATCCAATATGATGTTTGTTGTCGTAAAAATGTAAACTTCACAAGATCGGCCTTGAGAACAGGGATTGTCAGTAGTTTGAAACCGGTCGTAATGGAGCTCACCGTGTGCCGTTTGAAGTGTCGAAGCTGTGTAATCTATACCTGCGAAAACACTGCAGTGACACGCAAGAGCTGGAAAACGCAAACTTAAATGGCTTAAAATAAACTCTACCTGCTTTAGTTAATAAATGGGTGATGATCAACCAACGAAGTAAGTTATTAGGTTAACCTGAAGTTCCTTGTGTAATTCACATTAGTGTTAAATTTACACTATGGCGGGTGTAAATTTCACTTCCTGGAACCCTGTCCCTCAGTCTGGCAACATCTGAATCTCCTCTGGTGCTTCTCCTCAAGTTGTTGTGAAGCCAAAGGTCAAGTTTGACACAGCTGGACTCTGGACTTTTTCTTTCCACATTGGCAAACGGGTGTGTGCGGTAATTTCTCCTGCAGCTGATCAGGAATCTGATACGTTTTCTTAATGAATAAATAATCGTCCTGCTTACTGAATGAATGAAAGAAAATAGAGTAAAAATGTGAGCAGGCGCGTCATACACAGAGGCTTTCTGTTCACATACTAAGGAATAAAAGCTGCTCGTCAAAAAATCCTTAAAAATAATCTAATCACTGCATCTGAACTTTTACGACCTGATTTTTTTTTTTTCTTCTAAAATGCGCTGAGGTTTTCTTATCATTTTGTCCTGTAGAAGGTCATAATACATTTTGAAATTAAGACATTATAAGAGTTAAATCCAGGAAAACTGAGTTTATATCAGTCTTTAGCAACTACAGAATCATTACAAAAGTGTGGCTTGCATTTCTATTTAGCTCCCAAAACTCTGGTGCCCCTAAATATAATTTGGTGAAGCCAATTGCCATCAGAGGTTGCCTGATTAATAAAGGAAACTTGTTTGTAATTTAAACCTTCTATAAATCCACCTAAAATTTAGCCTTTCTTGAAAACTTGCATAAAGAGAACCGCTGTTATGAAAAAATTAAAAAATTTGCAAGGTAGCGTGTCGTCCAGCTCTGAATGACCTCTCCAGGTCAGCGTAATTACTCTGAGGTGTAAATCTTCAAACAAATCTTATTGTTCTGTAAGGCTTTAATATTCACACGCTGTTGATGTTAAATAATCTGGAAGATAAAAGCTCTAAAACCAGACGTTTTTTAACTCGTTGCTTGTTTTTCTGCTCCTTCAGGAATCGGGAGCAGCAGCTGGCCAGCCGCCAGGTGCCAAGTTCTCCCACATCCTCCAGAAGGACGCTTTTCTGGTCTTTCGCTCTCTCTGCAAACTGTCGATGAAACCACTATCAGACGGACCGCCTGATCCAAAGTAAGACTTTGTTGGTTTTTTTTTTTTTTTTGCGTAATTAAGGATTTTCTACATCTTAGAAGAGTTTGCTTTGTTAGATGTGCTTTTACTCTCCTATACTTCCTCGATTTGTGTAACTAATTAGTTAATCAGCATCTAATGGAGACTCCCAGTTCATTTAGCTGTTGGATTTAACTTCTAATTGCCAAGTTTTACTCTTAAGTTGCTTAAAACCTGAGAGTTGGACTTTTTGTGGTTTTTATTCCTAGCGGTGGCTTCATGAAAAGGCCTTTTAATGCCCCAGGGGTTTTTTTTATCCTTCCTCTAAGCCGCAGGTCTGACCAGAGACATCATGAATCATGGTTTAAAATGAGGATCGCTCCAATTGTGGTGTTTTTTCATTGGTTTCCATTGGTTGTGGAGGCAATGAGACATCAATCAGAATTTTCTGAATCACTTCCTTGTATCCTGAAACACTGGAGCCTTTTTCATCCTTCCTCTTTACCTTTTAAAGCACCACAAATGCAAAATGAATTTTTTTTTTTTATTTTTTTTTTTTGCTCCAATTTAATATTTCCCCTGACCATGCTTCAGTCAGAGGAAATGTGATTGTACCAATAGCTTCACCTTCTCTGGAATCAGGATTTTCTGCCTCAGGCTTCTACCTAAAACTGCATTCTGACTCTCTCTTATTTGTTTACTGTTTTCCAATCAATTTATTCTTAATTTCAATAAATCTGTGTCAAATAAATGTTATCCAAGCTGCTTTTCAAATGGCTTCGGTTACAGTTCTGGTGTAACGGAGCGCTTCGCGAAGGCTGACATGCTCTGTCTGGCTCAGACTGAAATCTTTGCTCTCCTAAAAAGGTTTATTCGCCAGATATTTCACTCCGTCTCACCTGAACAACTTGATACACACTGAACATGTGAAGTGTCTACAGCTTAACTAGAGCAAAAGACTTTGGATCTGCGTCTGCGATCACCGTCGATGCATCTGATCTTCTGTCCTCACCCCTAAATGCTGCCATACCCCACCTTGCATCTGTTTTTTTTTTAAACACTACAGATGCTTTCCATTACTACGTACCAACATAAATGCTGTTAAAAAGCCTCTCTTATAAGATTTCAGTCCTTACTGCTCTACAAGAGAGCTTCTTTTTATTTTTTAACTGTTTTCATTTATTTTCTACTAAAAATCAATTATAGAAAGCATTTCTTGGCAATAAAATTGCATGCAATCATAAAACTGAAGTTGGATCTCATCTAAGAAATTGCTTAAAAAGTAAAAGGACGTTATTGTTTTGGCACTTAGATCCTCCTTTTCTTACTGCTTTCCAGAAATGGAAAGCAGACAAAGAAAGGAAAGCATTGCAAAGGAGCATTTAAAGTCGGCATATAAATAAGCTGAATCTATGTTATTTGTTGAAATTCGGCTATTTCTTTCCCAGAGCCTTTTGCTACAGTAGAGCTGTGCAGACAGATGTAGGTTGTGCATGCAGGTGATCTGTGACCGTGACCCCCAGAGCATTTTCTTTTTAATCCTGCTGACGATTTTTAACTCTCTGCTGCAGACATGCATCCTCATGAGTTCTCTCCATGTAATTGGTTGTAAATTCCTTTCAAGGACATTGTTTTCTGTTAAAAAGACCAAATAACGCAGCAGAAACATCGGGGACGAAGCTGCGGAGAATCTTAAAGCCGGTTTAGGTTATAAAACATCTTCCGAGCGCTGCTGAGTCATCTGACCTACATGTTAAACTGACTCAGATTACTACAAACTAAGCAGTTGTATAACCTTCTGAATGTACATTTTTACTCTGTTAAACATTTTCAGAATCGTTCAAACAAATACGAAGACTAACAAATTTCCTTTGTGTGATTGCCGCAGGTCCCACGAGCTGCGATCGAAGGTGTTGTCTCTGCAGCTGCTGCTGTCCATCCTGCAGAATGCCGGGCCCATCTTCAAGACCAACGAGATGTTCATAAACGCCATCAAGCAGTATTTGTGCGTGGCGCTGTCCAAGAACGGCGTCTCCTCTGTGCCTGAAGTCTTTGAGCTCTCGCTCTCCATCTTCCTTACCCTGCTCTCCCACTTCAAGACCCACCTCAAGATGCAAATCGAGGTAAAACGTTTGCATGCGTCTATTTAGTGAAGTTTTCTTTTTTATTGCAAGCTCTACTGACAGCTTAAATAGCAAGCTTATTGTCTTGTGTACGCACAAGTACTGATATGCTACAATTGTTTTTATTCATTGAAGTATAACTTATGATCAAAAAAGATTTTGTTGGAAACAGTAGAAAAAAAGAAGATTGGTTTCTTGCTCACAAAGGGGAAAAGCATTTCTTCAGTTGCCTTGTTGGAAAACTTAAAAGCGAGTACTTAATAAGATGAATAAAAATAAAAAAAAAACACTCAACCAAAATTAGCAGTAAAGTCATTTAGGACATGAAGTGAGCAGTTCCACCTGTTCTTCTTTCATCTCGGCCAAATTAACTCGCCTTCCTGCTTCCAGGATCCCTGCTCCTGTCATCTGCTCTTGTTTTGTGTTGCGGCGTTGCCAGTTGCTCCTTTTGCCTGGTTCTCACTGGAAATGCATTAAACTCTCTCTCTGCAGGTGTTCTTCAAAGAGATTTTCCTGTACATACTTGAGACGTCCACAAGCTCTTATGACCACAAGTGGATGGTCATCCAAACACTCACCAGAATATGTGCAGGTTTGCTCTGCTTTTTTCTATTCTTGTTTTGTTTCTACACTAATATCGACCTCATATTTAATTAAATTAACTTTTCAAAGTGAAGTATTGTTGAAAGACAGTAGTAGGAGAAATCGTATAATTTCTCCTCTCTACTTTAATCATAATTTTTTTGTGGTTTCAAAAGCAATTCTTTGAGCCTACGACTGTATACGTCGTTTCTGTGATTTCTTAAGGCTTTGTGAAAAATAAAAAATTGTCCCTTCTGTCCTCTTCAGATGCCCAAAGTGTGGTGGACATCTATGTGAACTACGACTGTGACTTGAATGCTGCTAATATATTTGAGCGCTTGGTCAATGACCTCTCAAAAATAGCCCAGGGCCGCGCAGGCCACGAACTCGGCACAACGCCCCAACAGGTGAATTTTTATTTTCCTCATGTTCTTCATCTATTCTGTGCCTGGATAGTTCAGGATTTATGAAGTAAAGTGCTGTTATAAAGTTATACACAGTTAATATCATGCCTTTAACTCATAACACTCTTTGTTCATCGTAATCCCAGATTAGCTGATGCTGCAGAGGGAAGCTGACGAGTTAGAGAAGGGACCAAGACCAAAATTGACATCTATAAATCTCAAAAATGCCACAATGGTTTATTTGAGCCTATAAAACTTCATCATGTCTGTAATTTGGAAGTTATTTACACAGAAGTTGACAATTATTTAGATGTTAAATGTAGGTCAGAGGCGTTGCCCCGCCCTTAGACTTCCCTGTGAAACACAAACCGAGAACTGAACTTGTAAACAGTTTAAACTCAGAGCAGCCGAGTTTAAACTACCAAAGTAGAAATCCAAAATGTCACAACTAGATTTTTTTTTTTTACGCCGTCTACTTTTTCTATCTGGTATTTAGTAACTCGAAAGAGTTAAGTTTTTGATCCTCAGTACATGTTTCCCCAGAAACAACATCTGCGGTGCAAAAACCCACTGAGGTTTTTCAGGTTTTAGCCGTTCTCAGACTAGCCATTCAGCTTCAACCTCCAGAACCAACTAATCATAATTTGCACTAAATGAAGCGACAAAACAGCGTTAAGGAAAGATATTAACTATTTCCAGCCTTTTAGCAGAACCATGATTTATTCCCAAACCGTCCCACTAAGACAGCTCGAAAAGTTTTACTGATTATTTCATGTGTCTTATATTCTTGTCCAGGAGCTGACTCTGAGAAAGAAAGGCCTTGAATGTCTAGTGTCCATCCTAAAATGTATGGTGGAATGGAGCAAAGACCAGTACGTCAACCCCAATTCCCAGACCAGCCTAGGTGAGTCATTTATGAGATACTGGCTGCAGTGAAACCCAAAGCACGAGGAAATTTTGTGACTTTTTTTTGTTTGGTTTCATCATTTTAATTATCAGCTTGCAGATGCAATGATGTCAGAAATCCTGTTTCTAACAGGCTAGACAGGCTAGACATGGGAGTGTGATCTATGTTAAAGATCTACAGTCTTTCAAATAAGACACACTGAGTTCGCTGTAGAAAACTGCGCACAATGTATTGCAAATGTGTTGCAAACTGTGTACCATCACTTTGCTTCAACAATAGCTCCAAAGTGCTACTAGCATTTCAGCTCCCATAATACTTTTAATACTTTTAGCAGACACTGGAACCAAAACCCCTCCTGGTGAGGAGAACCTGCTGTAGTGACTGAAGCTTGATGTGTGTGTGCTGTGCCTGCAGCTATCGGCACAGTGAAAGGGATTAAGTATTTTTGTGGCAGTATACATGCATGAAAGGATGTGCAAATCTATTAATTCCTGAGGATTTAAAGGTTTGGCTACAGTGGAGGGGAAAACGAGCTGATACTTGTAACTGTGCAATATGTAGTTGGTACGTAATTCGGTTCTGAATCGGACGCAGTTTGATTGTTTATAACCTTAATGAAGGCTTGAACAGTTCTCACTGTAATGTAAGGGTGAGCAGAGCCCTCCATATTGCTTCCTTTCCTGCAGTAGACTGTAAAAAACAGGGAAGGTTAAAAGCAGATTTTGGCCGTAATCTATCTGAATCGGCCTCAGTTCCCCTCAGAGTCTTAACTGGAGTTTGAGATAAGGCTTGTACCCTTCAGCATGGCCGCAGTCAGCTGTAGGATTGACCACTGGAAGGAAGGAAAGTAGAGGAAAAGCGAGCTCTCGTCGGCTCAGTTCCAGCCACAGCAGGCGGTGAGATAATGCTTCGGCACATAGAGGCTAATCCAGGAGGTTCAGACCCTGAAAAAGAGCAATACCTTTCACCGAGCTGCAATGAAGCACCAATCTGTGACACGTGGAGCATATCCTCTCTGCGAGGCGGGCCGCTGGGTCTTGCGCACAGAGGATGGATTTGTCGTTAGCTGAAGGAGGAACCCGAACTAAGACGAAGCTGAAACTCTGAGAAAGGACTGAAAAGATATCCCTTAAGCCTCTGGGAGTATCCACAGGCCAGCCTGGGGCTAAGCTGTCAGAGCCAAGCAGCAGAGGCAGCTTTGTTGACTGTCAAGGATATTACTCTGCCAAAAAACCCACGACAGCTCATTAGTATACAAACAGCAGCTCACATTAAAATCCTGCATGCTGAATTTGCCCTGCTGGCAGTTTGGTGGAGGTTAGAAAGTTTTACATTTTAGACTGAATCCTGTTATAGCAGCATGCCAGGTCCTGGCTTGTAACGGTTTCTTGTCTTTACTCTCATCTTTCTGAATAACTTCGAAGCAAGAGCAGGTAAAAACTGGAACAGTAGTGAGTGTTTTAGTAGAATGTGTGTAAAAATATAGCTCCGATTTAAACCCTTTGTGATTGTGATTTAGGTAGTTTTCCACTGTCTCGGTATGAAAGTCTGTCAGCAGCTTTTAATATGACATTCAGCACTCCAGAATAACTCAGAGTGTGTCTATCCTGGGATAAACTCGGCTATCAAACATCACAACACAGACCCAAAGACAGGGTTAGGGTTGGGGTATTGATTATTTTTGATTATTTTAGTATGTTACAGGGATCTGTGAGAGTTTTCCTCCAGTAGAAAATGAGAACAGAACAGTCTGAGGAAAAGAGAAGGTAATCGTTTGAAACCGAGAATTCCTTTAAAACCACGCTAAACTCTGAAACCTGATACAAGCCTACATCCGATTCTGTTACATAACTTGAGCGGCGTAGGTTACGCAGTAACCAGAACCATGTTTGGTCTGCCTTAACCTGCCGAGACCTGAAGTAACATCCAAACCAGATTGTATTCGGCATGGTTTTACGCTCTGAAAGGATTCAGATATGTAACAGAAAACACATCTGGTTGCTACAGACGGCTGGCGTCCCAATGCTCTTTTTCTTTTGCCGTGTTGTCCGTGTTTTTAAGAGTGGCGAACATCGAGGCGTGCCGGCGCGTCTGCGAGGCCGTCCTGAATGTTTTAAAGAGTTTCCGTTGGGTAATCGGACGCCTCAGTTGGACCCAGCCTGGGTTACAGGGTGAACCTGTTCCAGCAGCGGCGGCGGCGTATCCTTGAGCTCCTCTCTCATGGATTAATACCATGACCTTCATCTCACATTTCTTCCCCCTTTTCACTGCCTGCAGTGTTTTAGAGAACATCCAGAGCCCAAAATGCTGCATTAAGTTATCATAATTTACAAAATCATGCTAATTTGGCACTTTTAATGGACTTTTAATGCAACTTTTAGAGCAGCTTTGCATTAAAAGTGTCATTATTTACCAAATGACACTTCTTGACAACTGTCATAAGCATTCATAAAGACTACTTTATGTTCATGACAGGTGTTATGTCATGTTTATTATCATGTTAGTCTTATGCACACCCCTTCAAATAAAGTGTTACCCGAAACAATAGTTATTGTTTTCTAAATCATTGACTTTATTTCCTTTTATTTTTGCTCTTCAGGCCAGGAGAAACCTTCAGAGCAGGACAGCTCGGAGACCAAGGCCACAGAGAGCATAAACCGCTACGGCAGCATCAACTCCCTGGACTCCACGGCCTCGTCTGGCATCGGTAGCTACAGCACACAGATGTCCGGCACCGACAACCCAGAGCAGTTTGAGGTTCTCAAGCAGCAGAAGGAGATCATCGAACAGGGGATTGACCTGTGAGTCCAGTGAATTTACAGCTCTATATCCTGATGAACGTGGAACGAGTTAGCCTTAGCTAAGTGTGGCTTTACGCGTTTGTGTTTTCCTCAGGTTCAACAAGAAACCAAAGAGAGGAATCCAGTACCTTCAAGAGCAAGGCATGCTGGGTACAACCCCAGAGGACCTTGCACAGTTCTTACACCAAGAGGAGAGGCTTGACTCGGTAAAAAAAAACAAAAAAAACAAACAATTTGCTTTAGGTAAAAGTAGAAAGTAAAGAAAGGTAGACACTAGAATATTTTCAAAATGAAACAATTTGTTGCAGAAATAGTTTATTAATCAGGCCATTTCTCAAAATCACCGCCGAGACATAGACAGTCAGTTTTTTTCTTATTATGCTATATTATCATCTTGTTAATGATCATAACAATGCAAGGACAATTTTATTGTGCAGTAAAAACTTACAAGTTAGTCAAATAAAATAACATGAATGTATATATTTATGCATGAATAAAATAATCATTTTATGTTGAGTTAAATTTGTACTCTGCAGATTTCAACAACAGTTATATAAATAATGAAAGATGTAACGGTAATGTAATCACTTAAATACTTGATTGCCATTTCAGGTGAATATTGTTCGTTTCTGCCTAAAATTACATAAAAATATGTTGCGAGTCTTCCAGTTACCTTTGTCTTGATTCTAGATCAGTGGTTCTTAACCTTTTTTGAGGTGCCGAACCCACCAGTTTCTTATGCGCATTCACTGAACCCTTCTGTAGTGATAAATAAAATATGATTCTCCCCCCAATTCAAGACATAGGGGTGCCCCAACTAGAGTCTAGCTGGGTCACCCCATGATCACTAAGTCTTCTTAAAAGGTAGAGTCTCTGAGAACAGTTCTTCAAAATATAGTCAGTGTTTTCAGCAAAGTTGAGCTGACTGTCCTGGAACGACCCAAGGTATTTAACATTTTCCACAGTTTCGACAGGTTGGCCATCGAGAGAAACTGGAACCACTTTAAGGTCTTGTTTAGATCATTTAATTAGCTCTACATTCTTAAGAGAATGAAAAATTTGTTATAAATAATAAAGACTTTGCGGTATTCTGAATGAGTAATGTAATTATATTAGTTGTGTTACCACCCCCACGCCACTAGAGGCAGTAGCAGGCCCGAAAAGATGCGACTAAGGAGCAGATTTAGAAGTACACCAAAGCTACAGAATTTGGTAAAAACGGTGAGTTTTGCTGAAGTAGTTGAAGACACAAGTTCACTGAGACCAACTCATCGAACCCCTGGGGTTCGATCAAACCCAGGTTAAGAACCACTGCTCTAGACAAAACACAATTAAGCTCACATCAAATGCTGCCTACAGTAGGTAAAACAATGGGGCGACTGTGGCTCTATGGATAGAGTAGTCGTCTTGCAATCAGAAGGTTGTAGGTTCAATTCCAGCTTCCTCCTGCCACATGTCAATGTGCCCCTGGGCAAGCCACTCAACACCAAATTGCCTACCAAGCTGCATAGGCAATTTGGTAGTGTAAAGCACTTTGAGTGGTCAAAAATGATCAGATAAAGCGCTATATAAGTTCAGTCCATTTACCATTTCCACTTAAAAAACCTAAGAAAAAAATTTAATGTATAAACTTTGATTAAAATAGATGTAATTAAATTGTGACATGTATAACATAATCACTGTAATTGAACTAATTTTTTAATTGTTTGGCACCATGATGAGCAAATTAGTGCAGCATTAATAACTGCATTAATTACAGCGTCAGATAAAAACAATCCGCCCTGATTTGCTACTCTTTGCTAATCATTAAGCCAGCTTGTGTTTCACTCTGCAGGGTCACAGACCTGAGCACTGTGTGTAAACGTGCAGGCGTATAGATCAGTAATGCGAAGTGCAGCCTGACCTCTGTGTCGTTGCTCTGTTCAGACTCAGGTGGGTGAATTCCTCGGCGATAACGACCGTTTCAATAAAGAGGTCATGTACGCCTACGTGGATCAAATGGACTTCCAGGGCAAAGACTTTGTTTCCGCTCTAAGGATGTTCCTGGAGGGCTTCCGGCTCCCCGGCGAGGCCCAGAAAATCGACCGGCTCATGGAGAAATTTGCAGCAAGATACCTGGAATGCAATCAGGGGTGAGTTTAATTTGCTTATTTTATTTTATTTTTTTTACAAAACAGAAAGGAAACCAGAGGAGATCAAGGATGTGGTTAGTTTTTGCGGGTCGTTTATCCTGCTCACCCGTTGTTCTCGTTTTGTTTTTATTGCTCCAGACAAACTCTCTTTGCCAGTGCAGACACAGCATATGTTCTCGCCTACTCGATCATCATGTTGACAACAGACCTCCACAGCCCGCAGGTAAGACGTCCACCTCAAGGAAGCTGCGGGGTTTTGGTGTTTAGACAAGAAATGTCCCTTTAAATATCAGTGAAGCGTGCCGAGCAAAAGCCAGTCTTGACCTTATTTTATTGCTGTAATCTGCAAAGGTGAAGAATAAAATGACAAAAGAGCAGTACATCAAGATGAACCGCGGCATCAATGACAGCAAGGACCTGCCTGAGGAGTATCTCTCAGCCATATACGATGAGATCGCAGGGAAGAAGATCGCCATGAAGGAAACGAAAGAGCTCACCATGAAGTCCAGCAAGCAAAGTGAGTCTGCCCGTCGTATCGACGACGATCGACGCGCTATTCGCCGCTGATCTGGGTGGAATTGATGTCTGAATCTGGATTGACAGGCGTGGCCAGCGAGAAGCAGAGGCGTCTGCTCTACAACGTGGAAATGGAGCAGATGGCCAAGACGGCCAAAGCTCTGATGGAGGCCGTCAGCCACGTCCAGGCCCCGTTCACCAGCGCCACGCATCTGGAGCACGTCCGGCCCATGTTCAAGGTATTTCACCTGAGATTCCACGCACCCCGTGGGGGGGTACAGACGGCTAAAGCCTCATCTGTGTGTGACGCTTCTCAGCTGGCGTGGACGCCCTTCCTGGCTGCCTTCAGCGTCGGCCTGCAGGACTGTGACGACACTGAAGTGGCCTCGCTGTGTCTCGAAGGAATTCGCTGCGCCATCAGGATAGCGTGCATCTTTTCCATACAGGTACGGCACCCTGGATCACTGCAACACAGGCTTCTCACGCAGAATATTTATAGAACTGGATCTGATCACATTTCAAATCTGCATAAATTGGGTTTGGAAACATCTTTGAGTTTCTAACCTTTTTGTTTTTAATAAAAGTTACCTTTTTTTATATTTTGAGTTTCATTATATTATAACCTTCATCTTCCGTTTGCTAGATAGCAATTTTTAATGTATTTATTTTTGCTTTAATGTCGAAACGCACACAAACAAATTTAATCGGAATAATTTCACGGCTTATAATCCCATCAAAGCTCTCTTTAATCCAGAATTAAGATTCATCATAATGAATCATTACAAAAAGTTTTTTTATTTATTTCAGGAATTCAAATCCAAAACAGTCATACATCAGTTTGTAACACTAATATATATTTCAATTCTTATTTCTATTCATATTGATGTTTTTAGTTTCCAGAATAAAACTTGTAATTGTAACTTTTTTGCTCTTTGTCTTGCATTTTTTTTCTTTTCGCTCAATTTTCTGCCAGCTTTGTTATTTAGCAATGACCTTCTGATTATCTGCATAACATTTCTATATTATTTTCATTGGTGTTATGTAATGCATTGTTTGCTGAAAAACTGGATTTTGGTTGTTCTTTTAGTTGCTAGCTGTGATCATCAAAATAATTGGTCTCAGTATTAAATGTGTTCTATATAAAATATTAAAGATCTTGTTTAGTTTGATGGCTCTCTGGAATTTTAGGTAAACGTCTTGTATTTAAACGACCAGAACGCACAAAAATTGTCACAAAAAACGTCGTTTTTGTTTCTGAACAGCTGGAGAGGGACGCTTACGTTCAGGCTCTGGCCAGGTTCACCCTGCTGACGGCCAGCTCCGGCATCGCAGAAATGAAGCAGAAGAACATCGACACCATCAAGACCCTGATCACCGTGGCACACACGGACGGCAACTACCTGGGCAACTCCTGGCATGAGGTGAGAGCTTTCAGAACCGTCCAGCAGGCTACGTTCCACCATCGTCTATTCATACATGTTCTTTATTGATCAGTCATCAAACATGACATGAGTCATAATTGCAAAAATTAGCATCATAGTCTGTTTTTTATGATTTTTTTCTTTTTGGCACTAGTGGCATTTATTTGCTGTATTTAGACAGGAAATGGGTAAAGAGAGAGAGAAGGGAGAACGTGCAGTGAAGGTGACCATTCTGAACCTTTAATACACTTTGCAATTATCCAATACTTTGTGTTGTTCTATCCAATAAAATACATTGGAGTTTGTGTCTGTAAGAGGTGTGATTGGTCTAGCAGTGCGCAGTAGTTGGTTTTTTCCTTCCTTGGGGATTTCATGACCATTTTTTTCCCCCTCCTTCTCAGATCATGAAGTGCATCAGTCAGCTGGAGCTGGCTCAGCTGATTGGCACGGGGGTGAAGGCGCGCTACATCTCAGGGACGGTGCGGGGGAAGGAGGGCTTCATCACCAGCACCAAGGAGCAGAACAACGACGAGTACCTGGGTCTCGGTCAGTAGAAACGCTTCAGTCCGTCGCAAACAGAATACTACTACTACTACTAAAGATCTGACAGCAGAACTACTCCCATGTGGTTCTCTCTGTAGTCGGGGGAACAGTGGACCGTAAGCAGATCGCCAGCATTCAGGAGTCCATTGGAGAGACGAGCTCCCAGAGCGTGGTAGTGGCTGTGGACAGGTGTGGATCTGTCATTTCTGCACTCATTTACCTCCAGGTCTCCTCCTGTGCACTTACGTAGACGCACCGCTTCACATTTTATTCTCCAATGTTTTCAGGATCTTCACAGGCTCCACCAGACTGGACGGTAACGCAATAGGTGAGTCAAGCCGTTCTCTGTGCGTCAAGGACTGCTGCATTTCCTGCATTTCCTGTGTCAGTGCAACTCGTCTTCCTGTTCAAATCACTCTTTTTTTTTTTTCCCCCTCACTGGGGTGATTTGTGTCTGTCAGTGGATTTCGTGCGCTGGCTGTGTGCTGTGTCCATGGATGAGCTGGCCTCGCCCACACATCCACGCATGTTCAGCCTGCAAAAGATCGTGGAGATCTCCTACTACAACATGGGCCGCATCAGGCTGCAGTGGTCCAGGATCTGGGAGGTGATCGGAGACCACTTCAATAAGGTGGGTGTGCGAAACGGATCGACCCCGTCAGGTTCTCTTTCTATTCCTCCATCTCTCCTTGTTTCCTTCCTTTTGTTCTTGTGTTGGTTTCCCAAGAGGTGTTTTTGGTTTTAATGAGATAAATATTACTAAAAGGAAAGATTTTTTTTGTTTAAACAAGATACTGCTCCTGAATTTATTGCCAAGCTCTGGCAGTAAAGTGCTTCTGTAGAAAAATAACCATCATAATTTTTGTTTTTATTATCTATTTTGTCATCAATTTTTAAAATGTATTATTTTCTAAAATATAAAGTGTAGATTTGATTGGATTTTTTTTCAGCGAATAAAGTAGACGTATCCAATGCCTTAAACTCAAATTTCTATATACAGGTATATATACCTGCTTTGGTTGTTTGATTTAAGATTAAAGAACATAAATATATTTATTTTTTCCTATTGAAATAGCGATAAACATTTTATTTTATCTGCTCACCCAATTTAGACGCTTTTATTTTGCCTGATTCAGTTGCTCTTTCTTTTAAATAATCATCTTCTGTTCTAAATATTTTATGTTGAACAGCTTCTCTTCTTTCCCCCAGTTTGCTCTGATGGTTCATCAAACAGAAAATGCCGAATTCGAGAAATGTTGTTTTTCTCTGCTGCAGGTTGGCTGCAATCCCAACGAAGATGTAGCGATTTTTGCCGTCGATTCTCTCAGGCAGCTGTCCATGAAGTTCCTGGAGAAAGGGGAGCTGGCTAACTTCCGCTTCCAGAAGGACTTTCTGAGGCCGTTCGAGCACATCATGAAGAAGAACAGGTACGAACCCAGAGCCACCGGCTCTGAGCCTCTTCCTGTCTTTTCCTCCCTGAAGCTATGAGTGGATTTGTTTTTTTTCACTCTGACTCCTGTCAACATTTCAGCTGACCCATTTCAGTCTTCTTGCATTACTTCTCCACTGAATTCATATGAAAGGCTCTTTTTTTTCCCCCCTTCTGTTTGGTTTGAGATGGTTTTTAAGTACAAACCAGACAGATTTATTTAGCTGGTGATTTTGAAGCAGCGTGCATGCAGCATGTGACAAGCTAAAGCCTGTATCACTGCAACACATTTCTGACAAGAACCAGGAGTTTAAACAAGAATCCGCTCACAGAGGGCAGCGGGGAGGAGACGGCTGGCGGCCATGTAAACCGGGCAGAGCGTGGAGTCCATTAGAGTCGTGTGTGTGTGTGTGTGTGTGTGTGTGTGTGTGTGTGTGTGTGTGTGTGTGTGTGTGTGTGTGTGTGTGTGTGTGTGTGTGTGAGACAGAGAGATGGTTACAAGAGGCAGAGATTTCCTCCCATTCATGCTCTCTGAGCAGCTACAATTGCTTGTCACTATGGCAACAGTTGCTGCAACAAACCAGCTGAGCTCAAGCTGTAATAACCACTTTACCTTAAAATGAGCCTGGGGATTTTATCAAGTGCTTTTTCAGCTAATCTGCATGAATAAACAGACAAATTATCATCATTTCAGTTGATTTGACACATTCACATGCCATCCCCCCCCTCTATCTGATCTTGCAGGTCTCCCACCATCAGAGACATGGTGGTGCGCTGCATAGCTCAGATGGTGAACTCCCAGGCTGCCAACATCCGTTCAGGCTGGAAGAACATCTTCTCGGTGTTCCACCTGGCGGCGTCCGACCAGGACGAGAGCATCGTGGAGCTGGCCTTCCAGACCACCGGCCACATCGTCAGTGAGTCCAACACTCCTGTGTCCAAACTCGTTTCATGTCGTCCCTTCAGCCATGCGGCAGAAATGGCAACTCAAGCTTTATGACATCATATGTTAAAGATGCTTATATCCATTTCAGGATCAACTTATTTTGTAGCTGCTGTGTGTATTTGATTGGTTAAATTGAACAGGAAGTCATCTTGGAACCAATTAGTTTTGACTGTAGCGGCGTTAGCTGATGTTTGAGCAGCTTTAGTAGAAAGGTAGAAACAAAATAACTACTTCTATTCACGTCCAAAAGAATTCATGTTTCCTCATATTCTTTTGTATATGAACAAATATTATTTCAATCAGATATTTAACGATATATTTAAATAATTACATCTATATATATTTTTAAACGTGCTAATTTTATGAATATTCAATCCCTCAATGGGAGAGGCTTTGTCTACAGACACCCTAATTAAAAACATTTCCTGTTTGATTTAATGAAAAATAACAACAGGTCTTGAATCCTTTATGCACGTTTGTAATATTTACATAGAATAAATTATGTATACTTTCAAAAGAGTTCAGTTTATACGTAATCACATCGTCAGAGACGAGCCTTTAGCACCTTACGAACAAATCTGCCAGCTGGTCAGAAGATCTGATTGCACATTAAATCAAAGTCTGTTTTTATTGACTTCTCTTCTCCTCCGCTCGTGTGCTCGCTGTTTACATCTCCCTCAGCGAATGTATTCGAGAAGCACTTTGCAGCCACCATCGACTCCTTCCAGGACGCCGTCAAGTGTCTCTCGGAGTTCGCCTGCAACGCCTCGTTCCCAGACACCAGCATGGAAGCGATCCGCCTCATCCGCCACTGCGCCAAATACGTCTCGGAGAGACCGCAGGTCAACGTCGGCCGGATGAAGTCTGAATCCTACCTGTAAAAAATAAACATAAAAACACGAGGATTCATTTTGAACTCGTCGTTTCCCTCATCCCCCCGGCAGGCCTTCAAAGACTACACCAGTGACGACATGAATGTAGCCCCCGAGGACCGGGTGTGGGTGAGAGGCTGGTTCCCCATCCTGTTTGAGCTCTCCTGCATCATCAACAGGTGCAAACTGGATGTCAGGACCAGGTAGGCGGGATTAACCCTCCGATCGCAGGCCTCGTCGCTTTGACTTTTCCACATTTTGTCACATTACAACCACAAAGCTGTTGCTATTTTAAATGCAAAACTGTTTGTAATTGATGTAAAACAAGAGAAAGAACTTGCGTATGTGTTTTTAGACCTGCGTTGTTTAACGAGTGTGTTTGCGTTGCTTCTTGCAGGGGCCTCACGGTGATGTTCGAAGTGATGAAGACCTATGGGCATACCTTCGAGAAACACTGGTGGCAGGACCTGTTCAGAATCGTCTTCAGGATCTTCGACAACATGAAGCTACCGGAGCAGCAGACCGAGGTAACGGGCGAGTCTTTTCTTCCCGAAGCTTCTTTGTTTTAGTTTGTGCGTGTGTGTGTGTGTATGAAGCACGCTCACTGACGAGGCTTTTGTTGTGAAAACCTTCAGAAAGCAGAGTGGATGACCACTACATGCAACCATGCACTTTACGCCATCTGTGACGTTTTCACCCAATACTTTGAGTCCCTCAACGGCCTCCTGTTGGATGACATCCTGGCTCAGCTCTACTGGTGTGTGCAGCAAGGTGAGCAGGCTGCGTTCGCGTTTTCACCAGATTAAAACAAAAACGGATGATTTTTACGGAAATGTTCAAACTGTTTATTTTATGAACCTGTACTCCAAACAAAATTAGTCCACATCGTGATTATCATAAACTAAACAATAATAAAATCCGCTTCCTGCGTCTCTGCCTCTTCGCCTGCAGACAACGAGCAGCTGGCCCGTTCGGGCACCAACTGCCTAGAGAACGTGGTCATCCTCAACGGGGAGAAGTTCTCCGCCGAGACCTGGGACAAGACGTGCAACTGCATGCTGGACATCTTCAAGACCACCATCCCCCACGCGTAAGCCGACGCGCCGTCCTCCTCAGCAGGAAAACTCTGTGGGACCCGGATTTGAAGTGAAGCTGCTCAAACGGGCAGTTTGATGCTTGAAAATTAGTTTGTAGAACAAAATCAAGCTCAGTGCTAAAAACTAGTGGTGTTTAGTATAATAGAATAACTTTTTCATGATTTCCCAGGTCTGGATAAGTACGGAAGAAGAAAATGTAGTATCTAAATTTCTTTCTTTTTGGATTTTCTTTTCTTTTATTTTCTGTATTTGGTTTTTTCTTTTTCTTTTTTGTTTGTTTTTTCTTCCTGTCGTTTTTACTTCCTTTTTTTATCACCTTAGAAGAAACAGGCTATTCTGATGTACAGTACATAACATAATAGGTGCTGAGATATTCTGCTTGCAAATGCACCAAAAATACACCAAAAGCTAAATCCGTATTTTTTGTAACAAAAGCGGTTTTAACCTTGTTTTTTTCCTATCGACAGTTTTGACATTTTCACCAAAAAAACTGATGTGATTTCTTCTATCAATTTTCTCTGGTTTCAAAGGTTGTTGACGTGGCGACCGGCAGGAGCAGAAGGAGAGCACTTCGCAACACACAGCCTGACTGACAAACAGCTGGTGAGGAAATCTTTTGTACGGTTTATCCAGGACATGCAGATGTCGTTCTTTTCTGATCCTCCTCCTATTTTAGGCTTATTTATATTTGTTGGATAGCGGTAGCTAAAATCTGCTTTGATTTCAGGACTCCATATCCCAGAAGTCTGTGGACATTCAGTCCCGCTCTGACGACCAGCACTCCATCAGCAGCGGCGACAGGGCCACCGCCATGGAGAGCCGCCGGCAGAGTCAGCACAGCTCGGCGTCGGGCGTCTTCGAGGACGGCTCGAGAAGCAGGACCTCAACGAGTGAGTCGGCCATTTTCCACGAATACTAATCCCTCTCTCTGCGTTTCGTTTCCCATCAATTTGTTTTCTGACGAACGTTTCCTGTTGCGTCCTGCAGAGATCCAGGAGCAGCGCTTGTTCTCCGCCCTGCTCATAAAGTGCGTCGTGCAGCTGGAGCTGATCCAGACCATCGATAACATCGTGTTTTTCCCCGCCACCAGTAAGAAGGAGGACGCGGAAAACTTTGCAGCTGCTCAGGTATAAAGTTTGAGTGACCCGCACGACGACGAGCTACAGCCATGGTGGAAATATTAGCGAGTAGCTCTATAAACCTTTATTTAATTTGAAGCGGGACGCCGGGTGTGCCGCGGACGTCCAAGTGGAGACGCAGGACCAGGGGATGTTCCGCTATCTGACCTCGGAGCAGCTCTTCAAGCTGCTGGACTGCCTGCTGGAGTCGCATCGCTTCGCCAAGGCTTTCAACTCCAACAACGAGCAGAGAACGCTGCTGTGGAAAGCAGGTAGGAGAACGGAGGCTGCGTCGGGGGACTCGAGGCCGGCACTGCGGATCTCTTAACGGGTTTTTCCTGTGTGCGTTTTTGGAGGTTTCAAAGGCAAGTCGAAGCCCAACCTGTTGAAGCAGGAGACCAGCAGCCTGGCGTGTGGGCTGCGCATCCTGTTCCGCATGTACACGGACGAGAGCCGACAGGACGCCTGGGAGGAGGTCCAGAGGCGGCTGCTCAAGTGAGGGACGCCTTCATCTGCTGAGCATTTACCACACTCGGTTTAGCATGGAAAGGATTCATCATAATGTTAAAATAATCATCAACTAATTTAGAAATTGATTAATCGTTTACTACAGCTTGGAGTCAAAAAAGGCCATTTGCTGTAAGAGCAACATGCGACAACAACTGAGCCAAACCTGTACAAAAAAAATACACATTTTGCATTTAAAATAACCAAACCTCCTTTGTCTGTAAATATGATCCACACAACTCATCTAGTAACTTTGCTTTAGCTTCACCTTGTTTAAAAAAGAAAAAACCAGCTCCTTTAACTATTTAATTAGCAGCCATTCATAATGTCGCTACGTTGATCAGAAAGGCTTGAGCTTCACACATTATAAATCTCAAAGTATATTCCTGCATCCTTTGCACAAATGAGCAAGTGTGTGTTTCTAAAGTTGTATAAAATAAGCTCAAGTGGTTAAATGGTAAAGATGCAGAATGAGACATTTTTTAAATCTGATTTTTCAATTAATTGTCAGAATAACTAAATAATTAACAGCTGCAGCCCCAGTGCTGCTCATTTGAGGACAACAGGACGCTTCTCCTCCATTATATGAAAAATTATCATTTTATTTACTTGTGTTTTAGCTCCTCTTAAAAAAAGCTTCTTTGAATTTTTTCTAGTTGGTTTGTCACTTTTGTAAAATAAGTTCCAGCTCCAGTGTTTTTAAGTCACATTTTAGTTGCAATGTTGTAAAATCTGAGGTCGTTCTTTCAATCCCTGGTGTTTTTCTGCTCTGCTGTGTGAGGTGAAATCTGTCCTGCTGGTTAAAATGTGTGTTTGATGTTGCCTGCTACTCCAGATTAGGTAGAAAAGTGTAAAAAAAAAAAAAAACAGCCAGCAGGAGCTCTGCTTCACTGTTCCCATAAAGAAAAGCTTTATAGATCCAGAGGAACCAGAATGCTGCTTGTGATCAGCACTTCTGTGATTGCATCAGCGCCACTCAGAGCCTTCATCCTGTTCGTCTTTCTGTTCTGACTCATCCTCCTGTTTTGATGCCGATATTGATGGTGATCCAAAGCAGAACACTGGCTTATCTCTCCCACTTCACTGATTAACTTTGAGAGAGACGAAGATGATACCAGATAGGGGGAATTGGCGTAAAGGGTGGCTGAGTGTGTGAGTTGGATCAGTTCGGGGTGCAGAGCTGGAGGAGGATGTGGAGATTCAGTCACCTGATGGAAACTGGAGCAGGAGAAAGTCCAGGTTCTCCTCAAGGTTTAATAGACGACTCAGTGAGCAGCTTCAATGAAGAGCCTTTATCGTCATCATCATTATCATCCTAGTAGTTCCCTGTTGTGTTGATGTCTGTGAAATGTTTCCGTTTCGCTCAGCGTTTGCAGCGAGGCGGTGGCGTACTTCCTGGCTCTGACCTCGGAAAGCCACAGAGAGGCCTGGACCAACCTGCTGCTGCTCTTCCTCACCAAGGTGCTGAAGATCAGCGACGAAAGGGTAGGAGACCAAAACACGCCCCGGATTTAAATGAAGCGAGACTTTTAATGATAACGTTGCATTAACAAGATCAACAACCGCATTCAAAATGTTAAAAAAAGTTCAACTTTTACCTTTTGTCAGCCACAAACTCGATTGTATTGTAAAACATCAACACAAAAGAAAGCCCCTGCATGCATGGATCCATTCAATGTTGGGATATTTTGAGCTAAGTAGCCTAGAAGAACCTCGACACACACAACCTGCACACCAGCGTTCCTTCTTTATGTTTAAGATTTGTAGCAAAATAAGAGAAACTTTGAGAGGCATTGATACTGTTGGATTACCTCTGACCTCTGTGTCTTTCAGTTCAAGGCTCATGCATCCAGATACTACCCCCTCCTGTGTGAGATCATGCAGTTTGACCTGATCCCTGAACTGCGGGCCGTTCTCAGGAAGTTCTACCTGCGCATCGGCCTCGTCTTTAACATTGCACAGCTGCCTGAGCCCGAGCCGGACCCCGAGCCGAGGCGTGCGGAGCCAGAAACAGACATGGAGGTGGGGGAGGAAGCCGGGGAGGAGGCCCAGTGATGCTGCGCCCTCCTCCACCCCTCCGCCTACTACACAAACCAACCCACCGCAGAAATGTGCGGTTGTGCTGCGCCTCCTCAGGGCCCCTCCTCAGGGCCCCCCCACCTCACCCGCTCTCCCTCTCTTCCTCCTGTTGTACGACAAACACTTTAACCTGATTGGTTGGAGGGTGAAAGCCCCGCCCCAACACTCTTGACCCTCACAGACGGAGTCGTCTGCTTCATCGTTAAAAAAACAATAATGTCTTGCACCGGGTGTAGCGACGCCTCCACTGGATAAAACTACTGATCAGCAACTGACATGTACCCATATCTCTGATCTACATCTCAACACGTGTGCTTCTTACTGTGCGTTTAAAAAAATAAAAATAAAAAATGAAGAATGAATGATTTCAGCTACATGCAAAATACTCAGCAACTCTGAAATTTCTCTCTCACACATGGCTGACGATCTCTCTGCACTGCGGACGGCTAACATTAGCGTTGGTTAGTCTCTCGGATGAAACTAGTTGTACAGATCTGCCGCTGTGTAAAATAATCTTATTATAATAATAATAATAATAACAACACTAGATTTTGTTTATTTTTCTCCTGGACTTTTTTTTTTTGTTGTTGTTGCACTTGATCTTGTTTTTGTTCTGTTTTTTTTTTTTTTTTTTCGAATGCACTGGAGATTTTTCTTTTGTGATAATTTATTTGACTGCACCACCTCCCCCTCCTGATTGTCCAACACGGTATGATTTGTAATTAAACAAGACTGTGGAAAGTGAAGGGTTAAATTATTTCCATTTTTATATGTTCTTAAGTTTTTAACAAAAGACGTGACGATAACTGGGCTTCTGGAGCCGGAAGACAAGGAAGCAAACTGATGCTAGCTGCTTTATGAAGTCTCTATTCTAATTTCTGTTTTCATGTGAGTTTAGTTATCGCTCTACTGTACAAAAATCAGAAAACTTGATAATATATTTGGGTTGTTTTTTTGTTTTTTTGTTTTTTGGTTTGGGGAAGGATATATGTATAGAGAAAATTACAAATGTTAGCCGTGCTTTAAGTGTAAATTGGATGCATTCCTGCTCATGGATGTAGAAAACTAAATGTATATGATACAGCAATGTAAAGTTTTCTATCTCGCAAAAGATTATGTACAACTTTCTGTACGATACATCATCTGGCATTCTAATCAGGTTCTAGGTCAATAAAGTTTTTGAACTTGGTTGATTTGAATGAAGAATCGGTGAGTTTTAACTTTGCCAATAATCAGTCGCAGTTCAGGTTTAGTTTAAAAGTACATTTTAATGCATGAATTTAAAAAAAATGCTATAAGAATTTACAGACGTTTTAAGATTATCTTGCATTTACTATGTAGTTAGACTTGTCCCCATGAGTTTCCTTATCTGCAGCTATGGAAACATTAAGATTTCAAGCCACAGTAAATGGAAACACCCTGTGGAGTCCGACTCATGGGGAACTGGATGATGTGGCATTTCTGCCAGGGCGAAGCATCCAGCCTGCATCCTGAATTTCTAATTTGTTTTGGTTTTGTTTTTTGGTTGGATGTGAGCCGGGCTTCAGCCAGGTTTCTGTCCTCCGAGACGGAGATGGATCCTCCACATCGCCGCTGCAGCTCATGCGCCTGTCCGGCTCACGTTTTGTGGGGCTGCACAGTAAAAGAAAATTAAAAATATATATATTAATCTGTTTAGGAAAACTTTTAAAACGAGAAACAGATTTTTACTGCCTGGCCTGGTGCTATCTCCACCCTGCAGCTGATGAGGCCAGCAGACTCCCTGTATCGCCACCAGCTGCTGAGTGGAGCCATGAGCTGCTGTTGGCTGCCGTTTCTCTGGCAAAGACACAAAGTGCTAAGCTGACCCTTCGACTGCTGGAGGAGAGCACTGGAGGGTGCAGGAAGCAGCTCTTCCTTTATCCCCCTCCCTGCCTGATGGTAAAACTGCTACCAGTGTCTTGGAAAATAAACATATCTGAACGGATTTTCTGATGAAACGGGTCAAAGCTTTGTCTTTCTTTCCTCTAGCGAGACAGTAACTCTGCCTTCTGGGAGAATGGATACTTCATTCTTGCGAGTGAACTCGACTTTCTGGATAACACCAACGGATGGCATGTTTAACAGCTTCATTTCATAGCTTGTATTCATAAGTAGTATTATTGTATTCTCAGTTTGCAGAGTTAAAACGGTTGGATCTCGTAGAGATGAGAAGCAAGTGTTCGGCTAAAGGGACGTATCGAACTGAAAAGCCTCTGGAAAGTGGGTAGTATGAGGAAATCAAGGCTCAGATTTGCTGCCCTTAATTCTATTCGCAGTGAATTTAGGTATCAAGACTGCAAATACAAGTACCTCTAAGGAAGTTGAAGTCCCACAAGTTTTTCTTTTCAGGAAATCCAGGAGCAATGAAGGACCCATAGTTAGTACTTCAGTAGATTTGACGTTTGCAGATTCAAAAGCCTCGGCTTTGGATCATCTTCTATACGTGAGTGAAATAGATTTGATAAATTTGGAGAAAAAAACTTACCATACATGGTTTTAGGAAAGTTGCAGAAGAAGTTAGAAGCTAAAACTTGTCAACACTGGTAATCTGCTCTGATGAGCTGCCCGGGTCAAGTTCTTTTACCCATTCAGAGAACAAAAGCATTACTGTATTTTAACGAGACAGAATTATGCAGGCTTGAACATCTAGTATCGACTATATGACCGTACTTCAATGCTTGTGCAGGTAAGGATTGTGAGCCTCCTCCTTCAGCTGAAGCTCCAGCTGTCTCTGTTCTCTCCTCAGAAACTTACGGAGGGTTGACAGCTCTCTGATCACTTCCTGTTGACCTGCTGGAGGTCACAGTAACTCGGGATTAAAAACATGGGGGATGGTGCGCAATTCTAGTGCGATTTAAAAAGTTTTACACCCTTGAACTGTTGCCACATCCTCAAAAGATCCATTAATATCTGACAAAATGTGAAATAAATTTTCTACGGGATTGAATATTTGTATCCAGGTGTTTATGTCAGACTCACCGGGTATCGAAGGCTTCCTCTCAGGAACAGGTTGGATGCTTGGTGCTGATACAATACGCTCCTGGAAAAAAAAAAAATTGTTTATTTTTAAGTTCCATACAATGAATTGACGACTTTGAAAATATTTGCGTGCACTGCTAACCGACTTACAATTCTTGAAGTAGGTGAGCTCATGTCAGATGACGGACTTGGTGAAAGACTAGTTTGCTTCCTCTGCAAAGTTGGGATGGGAGGAGACGGCTCCCTCTGCAAAAACAACTGAGAGAACACACAGTCCATCTTTGACTATCTGTTTAATAAAACCACAAATTTCCACGTTTAGTGCTGTTTCCGCCTGAGGATCAAACCTTCACCCCAGTCTCACTTGCTAACTTACAGTCCTTGGGGTAAGCGGTCCCATGGCAGATGAAGGACTTGATGTCACATCATTTGAACACTTCCTGTGCCACACTGGGATGGATTGAGATTCCCGTCTCTGTAAAAAATAAAAAAAATTGAGTCAATTTTTGATGATCTGTGCCAAATCTATCAACAGATTTCCTTTTCCTGGTAACATCTGGTACCTCATTTGGACGAACACTCTGAGGTGCATTGTGATGTTTCCGCTCTTTGCCGAGAACCTTCTCGATGTCATGAGTTTCAGCTTTGTTGCTCTGTTTGCCTTTGCTCTGCGGAGAGAACGACAGGCGACCCTCTGGCGAATGCGGCGTGAGAATGAAGCTGGTGTGGCACTGTGCGAGCCCTCACCCTCATCTCTTTTTCTCGCCTCTTCTCCTCCTCGTACTGCTGCTGTATGCGGACCCTCTCCATCGCCAGCTTCTTCTCCTCGTCCTCCTCGGCAATCCGAACACGCTCTCGCTCCTCTGCCTTTTTTCTCTTCCTCTCCTCGATCTGTTTGAATGAATTGACAGGCTGGTGAAATAAAACTGACGCAGTAACTTTCATAATTAAAAGTTTTCCAAAGGGAAAGCTTGCTCCGCTAGGCTTAATGAATGCAGTAAGTCCCTGTAATCCTCCCTAACCTACCTGTTGTCTCAGTTCCTCTGTGTACCTGTCCTGCTGCAGAGGCGACGGATGACTCGACTCTACAACATTAGACATGAGAAAGTTGGGGGGGGCAAAACCGGAGAAACAGCCAAAACACAAACATGTGGACAGAAGTGATTAAGCAGAGACCTTGCAGAGAAATTGGAGACTCCAGCTCTGCTCCCAGAGAGGTCATCCTCTTATTATTAAAGCTGCGCATTTGATACAGGTCACCTGGAAACGGAGACGGAAAAATGAACAAATGAAGAGTTCCACACCGAAATGTTCAGCTAAGGTTTACATTTCAAGACAAGCAAAGAAGAAAAAGAACTCAACTCAGATCTGATTTTAGTTAGACTAAAATTCAGCAGATACGCTAAATTCTGACTTACTAATTTGTAAAGCAAAACTTGTAGGAAGAAGAAGCTTCAAGTTGCAGTCGACTTACTGACAAGGTTTCCGTGTTTGTCTCTAATCGGAGCTCCTCCTCCGCCTTTTCCCCAGGGGTCGTACACCACCAGCTCACCCTCCTGCAGAGCAGCCTCTCTCTTCTTCTTCTCCTTCTCTCTTTTTGTCCATCCTTCCTTTTCCGTAACCTGAACAGAGAACGCCCGGATGTTCCGTCCCAGTCACCGGTGCTGTGCTGTGTAATGAACACATGTTTTTGTTTTTGTTTTTCTTTGAGATACAGTAATTATTGACCTGCCGTCTTGGTGCCTCTCTGTATCTCTCGGTGCTCTCGCTCCGTTGGGAAGTCCCACATGTCTCCTTCTGCTGAGCTCCTCCATCTGTGAAGATAATTCAAAATAAGATACGATTAACTAAAATAGCGTAACAATTTTGTGAGTTGTTACTAAGTCATAGCTGGTAATATTACTCTAATATCAAGGTTTGTTTTAATGTAAGATGAAAAAAGTGAAAAGGATTAAATATTTCTAAACAGAACCTGCTTTATAAAAAGAGAACGGTCTGGTTTTACGTCAATAACAGTAGACAAATGAGCATTTTAAACATTACTTCCTGCATCTTGCAGAACTATTTATACTCCTTGATTTTTTCATGCTTTCATGCTATAAATAATAACTTAGATGTATTTTATTAGGATTTTGGTGGCAGATCAACACAAACGAGTGCATGACAATAAAGCAGAAAAAAAGGACGTTTAGTTTTCCAATGTTCTTTCCAATAAAAAATCTACAACAAAAATAATCTGAAAAGTACGGTGTGCATTTCTCTGATACCTGGTACCTCTAATAAAGCTAGGAACCCAGAGCAACTCCTGCCTTTAAGGTCATTAAATAGTCTGACTGCATGTAATTCAATCTCTGTATAAAGTCTCCTGTTCTGTGGAAGTTGTTGCTGAACTGGAGAGCTCCTTCTGTGGCATCCCAGGTGGACAAAGAAGCGTTAGCACAGATCCTTCCTTACAGCAGCTGTTGTTTTGGGGTTCATAATCATCACTGCTCCAAACGTAAACGCAGTAAGTGTTGTACCTGCTTGCCTTATTTGTACAATTTTTTTTCCTTTTCCTCAAAGTGATCTGTTGTTTTTGAACAGACCATCCCCATGGTGAAACATGGTGGTGGCAGCATGTTGCTGTGTTGGGGAGGTTCCTCAGCAGAGATGGGGGAAATGAATAGAGGGCAATACTTGATGAAAACTTGTTAGAGCACGTAAAAGACTTGAGCCTCCAAGTCTCCTTGCAACAGAACGAAAAGAAATGTATGTATAATTTTTGTTCAACTTCACAACCCATTATTGTGTTGGTCACACTCATAAAATCTCAACAAAATATGTTGTAAGGTGACAAAATGTGAGAAAAAAAAATCAATATTGATGCATAGTTTTGCAGGTTATTGTAATTAAAACAGGAAAACTGAAGGCTCTGGGCTGTGACAATCCATACTGTAAAAACTGACTTTAAGATACCGTGACAAACACACCAATCATCACACTGACACGACATCGCATGCATGACTGAATGATGTGACTGTGATACTTTACTCAGGTATTGGTTAGAATAAGGATCCTGCTTTCTGGGTCCTTCATACCAGCTTGCATCACCGTTGGAAACTACATGAGATCCAGGAGGAACAACAGGAACCCTGCAAAAACACACACACACACACATACAAAATGTGTTCTCTTTGGTATTCATTTTACTCTTATA